GTTTATGGCCTTGATGGTTACCCTTAACCTCTATTGGAAAATTTGAATCTGTAATGAGCTGCCAGATGTAAACAAATAGACTTTAATTGATGGATATGATAGTTACTAAATTAAAGTTTTTATCTAACAACAAAACATTGAAAACTTTTATTTTTAACACTTCCACAAAATTTATTATCACTACAGCAGTTTCGGCAGATGGCCTTTCTCAAGTTCAAAAGTTTTCAATATTTTGTTGTTGTATTTCAATACTATTACATTATTTACAGCTTTCTTTCTTGAAAAAACATGGATATAATTAATTGCAAAGATAATATCCCATTTGTTAAAAGTCAATATCTTCTTCCTCGTGTCCTTTCAGAACTTTGTAATCTTTACAATCATAGGTAACCATAGGCTTCATTTGAGTTTGACAATTTTTGTTGTGATATCCTCAACTTTTGTTGTTTTTGACTTTACCCAGTTGTTACTATTTCTATCTGACGAATCGTATATCCAGCATTGCTTTTCTTCTTCTAAATGTGGCTATCTTCTAGAGATGTTGGCGACCACATTGACCCATCTTATTCTATTCACAGCAGCTGGAAATAGATCAGTTGAGGTTAGACCAGTCCATTTCCAAAACATTGTTTTTCTGCTGCGGCCAATTTGTTCATATTTGCCATAGTCAGGATATACAATATTTTCCACCTAAGAAGACCGCTTTGCAATTAAATGCTGGTAACTTTATTACTAGCGAACCAGATAAGCGGCGATATATCTTACACTACCTTTATGAATAACATTTTACTGCTCTGTTGTTTCAATCAGCACTGCTCAACAAGTTATCGTTTATTGTAGTAATAGTACGAGTACGGAATATTTATTTAAAGAGTGAATTTATTACATGTTATTTTTTTTAATTTCTTCTTACGTATCGTATAATGTAGATTTACACAATAATCAAAGTTAGGCCTTTACAAGAACATATTATTTGAAAAATAGTAATCTCCTTTATACACACTTTAAAAATTTGTTTAGTAATGTATTTCTTAAATCCACACAATCAATGAAAAATGATTCACTGTTTAAAAATATCTTTCTGTTAATGACACTGTCATCAACAAAGTAGATCAAATTCAAACGTTATCATATTTCTCTTCTGTTTATCGTTAAAAATTAATTGATGGTCGTGGGTTGTATTGGTGTTATTTAATAATTAACCAAAATACATAATCAGCAACAATCTTATTTAAAACATGCGAATGCTTTTTGCAATCACAATAAATGGAATGTTTATGCTTGTTTAGCATTGGCTGTTAAATAATTTGTGTTCGATTGTTTCGCCTGTTGTACAACCCTCGTCCTTTTTAGGGTGTAGTAGTTGTATATAAATACCTATTTTTTATAGTAATATAAAAACGGTACTTTAAAACAAAATGAATAATTTGAAAAAAATAATATGGGTCCATTGACATCTGTTATGGCAGTTCAGAAACGCACATTCGATGCTTGCAGTATCTCAGAGAGGACATTCCGAAGAATTAATAACATGATTGAGGATAAAATAAATAAAGTAAACAAGAGAAATCGTCGACATCCAAAAACTTTAGATTTGCACCAGTCAATTAAACTTGCTATTAAAAAAATTATATACCTATAATATGTATAAAGCCAAAGAACATGTAACAATTAGTGCTGTATTACAAAAAATAAAAGACAAGGAACTGTGTGATATTAGTTTAACAAATTTGTGGAGAGTGCTGAAACATTTAGGTGTTCGATATAAAAAGACAAGTAATAGACAAGTATTGTGTGAAGTCTCTCATGTTTTATCAAAGCGGTGGCATTTTTTAAGAAAATACATGAACAATAAAACTTTTCACAGTCCGAAGCAAGTTGTATTTTTAGATGAAATCTAGAGAAGACTTGGAATTTCGCTAAAGGAAATATGTCAAAATCATCCTGGCAAGATGGCACCACGAAATGGTATTCTTCTAGTCGTTCCGGTAATGATGAGGGTTTTATGACGCTAGTTTAATTTTTTCGTCCACAAAGAATACAGGTGATTACCATGGAAATATGGATGCAAATATTTTTGAAGAATGGTTTAAAGAAAATTTGTTAAAAAAATTGGAGCGACCATCCATAATAGTGTTGGATAATACATCCTACTACTCAAGAGTAGAAGAGAGATTTCCTTCAAGTAGCTGGCAAAAGAAGAAATAAAGTTGTGGTTGACAGAAAAGAAAAATTTATCACAGTGACAAATTTTTAAAAGTCGATTTACTTCAAAGGTGTGGAGAGTACAAAATTCAAAAGAAATTTGTTACTGACCAAATGGCTCTTAAATATGGCCATGAAGTTCTTCGACTTCATGGCCATATTACTTTGCTATTATATTACTTTATTATTACTTTGATACAGTAAAATCCAATATTATTACTCAGCAAAAAATACAGGAAATGAAATATTTTTACTTTTCAAGCGATCGGAATTAAATATTAACGCTCCACTGTTTGAGGCCCACTGATCATATCTTAATTACATATCGACCGTCGTAGGGTAAAAAGATCACAGGTTTAACATCCATATGTCGTGATAGGAAGGATGCACTGGTTGAACACTTGCTTATCCAAGTGAATTTTTCAAATCCTACCCATACCAGTCTTGCTCTTCTAGTGATTTCCGCACTTTGGTTCTCTTTGTGAAGTTTCAGAATTTGGCCTAGGTAAATGTATTCTTAGAATTGTTCTATCTCGTTGCCATTTATAGTTATACGTCTGGGGTCATCTGTGTTTTTCAGTGTTTTTGTTTTTGTCATATTCATTTTTAGAGGAAGAGGAAGAATATAAACAACTACGTAAAGAAGAAAAGAAAATTCACCGAAGAAAGAAGAGAGAATATATCAACAAAGAACTTCAAGAACTACAAGAACTAAGTAAACCAACAGAGACAAGAAAATTTTATCAGAAACTCAACAAAAGCAGAAAAGAGTTCAAACCGAGAACAACGATGTGTAAAGATAAGGAGGGTAATATATTGACAGAACAGCAAGAGATACTTAGAAGATGGACAGAACATTTTAAGGAAAAGCTTAGGGTGAATAGGACGGAGATGAACCCTGATATACCATTAGACCAAGCAGACAACAGAGAAAAGAGTCCACCAACAATAACAGAGATTAGAACAGCAGTGGACAAATTAAAGAACAATAAATCACCGGGATCGGATCAAATATCATCGGAGCTACTGAAAGAAGGAGGAGACGCATTACTTAAAGCTATACATGAGCTGATAAGAAAGATATGGTTGAATAAACAGCTACCAAAGGAGTGGAATAGCGGCATTATTGTACCACTACATAAAAAAGGAAAACAGTTAGAATGTGAAAACTACCGTGGAATCACGCTGTTGAATGCGGCATACAGAATAATGTCCAACGTAATGTATGAAAGACTTAGACCATACGCTGAAAAAATAGTTGGCAAATACCAATGTGGCTTCTGTAGACAGAAGTCAACAATAGACCCGATATTTGTTCTGCGACAGATCCTTGAAAAAACAAGTGAATATAACATCGACACACATCATCTCTTCATAGACTTCGAAAGCGCATATGACAATATAAACCGAGAATTCCTAACAAAAGCAATGAAAGAATTTAATATACCAACACAGCTAATAGAATTGATAAAAGAAACACTAAAAGTAGAAAGTAAAATCCGGATACAAAACGAATTAACGGAAACAATAGATGTGAAGAAGGGACTACGCCAAGGGAGACGCTCTATCATGCATATTATTCAACATCATACTTGAAAAAATAATAAGAGACACAACAGTTAATACCCGAGGAACAATAATTAATAAAAGCGTGCAAGTACTAACATTTGCAGATGATGTTGACATAATCGCAAGATCAAGAAGAGAAATGATAGAGGCATTCACTCAAATAGAACGAGCTGCAAAAAATAGTGGTCTTAAAATCAATCAGACAAAAACAAAATATATGCCTGCAAATAAAAACGCACAAATAAGGCAGCTGCCAAATTTAACAATAGGAGAATACAACATTAAGGCGGTAAAAAACTTTACATACTTAGGATCCCTAGTTACGTCTGATAACAACGTTGCAGAGGAAGTGAAGAGGAGAATATTTATTGCCAATAAATGTTACCATGGCTTAATTAGGCAACTAAGATCAGATAACGTCTCCAGAAAAACAAAATGCCAAATATACAAAACCTTAATAAGACCGGTACTCACATACGGTTCAGAAACCTGGACACTCTCTAAAAGGGAGGAAACGTTATTAGCCACCTTTGAAAGAAAAATCTTGCGACACATATATAAGGGCACAAAAGAAAACGGGATTTGGCGGAGAAGGTATAACTTTGAACTATACAACATATACCAGGATCCGGATATCATAACATTCATTAAAATAGGAAGGCTACGTTGGATTGGACATGTGGAAAGAATGGAAGAAGGCGAAATACCAAACAAAATATTCAAACAAGTGCCAGTAGGAAAAAGAACAAGAGGAAGACCGAAGCTGAGATACGTAGAACAAATAGAAAATGATATAACAACATTAAAAATTAAAAACTGGAAAAAAAAGCACGAAACAGGTCAGAATGGAGAAGAATCCTTGAACAGGCCAAGACCCAAAAAGGGTTATCGAGCCAGTGATGATGATGATGATATTCATTTTTAGACCGGCGTATTGAGAAGTGTAAGAGACTTTTTATATTGTTAAACTATACATCATATATACATAGCAAATATATAATATTCTGCTAAAATATAAGAAACCAATAAATACAATACCTATCGTATAAGATTTGTGCACGTTAGTATTTTTAATGAGTGATTTTTAATTTTGTACAAATAAATAACCGCCCGACACCTTAGTAGATATAAGGAGCTAAAACTCACAAAAACTTTTCCAGAGACCCGCATTTAGCAAAAATAGCAGCAAAAAATACAAAATAAAAACATACATAAACTTGACTCACCTTAAATTATGACCTACTGGCTTTCTGTATAATTCAAAAGCCGATCCTCGTTGTTCCCTAGAACCTTGTAAATCTACAATTGGAGGCCTGGTTTCCAAAACGTCACCGTAAGTTCCGTCGTGGTGCTGGGCTATTGGGGTAATTTCGCTTCTACTTGCATAAGAAATGCTCGTATGACGTCGTGGGGATTCCTGATAAGGCGGAGCCATGTCGTAATGGCTTCGGCCTGGTCCAGGAGGGTACTGTATGTTAGGGTCAGCTGGGTGGAAGTTGTGATGAGGCGGTGTATTGTAGTAATAGTTGTGGTTGTGGTGAGGAGACAGGTTGATGTTCTGATTTCGATGATCCTATAAACATAAAATATAATAAAAACTATACATCACGGACCTCATGGGCGTAAGACGAAAACATAAAACAAACCCAATAGAATACAAACGAGTCAATAAAATCATAAGAAAATTTTAACGTTTACAATATTTAAAGTGGTTCTTCTTCTTTAGCGTCCTTCTCCTATCTTCTTCTTCTTGTGTCGTCTTCTAACGAAGGTTGGCGATCACTTCTTTAAACGCTTCTCGATCTTTTGCAACGTGAAATATCTGTTCAACACTGAGGTTAGTCCAATCTCTGATATTCCTCAGCCAAGATTTCTTCTTTCTTCCCAAGCCTTTTCTTCCCTCTACTCTACCATGCATGATGACTTGTAGCAGAGAGTATTTATCGTTTCGGAGTATGTGGCCCAGATACGATGTTTTTCTTATTTTAATTGTGTTCATAAGCTTTCTGCCATGTCTAACTCGTCTTAACACTTCCTCATTTGAGACTTTTGCAGTGCAAGGAATCTTCAAAATAAGCCTATATAGCCACCTTTCGAATGCCTCTAATTTTTTTATAGATTGGGCTTTCAGAGTCCAAGCTTCTACCCCATATAAAAGTTGCGACCAAACATAACATTCGACGAACCTCAATCTGATGGTCATACTCAATTTCTTATTTGTAAACATTGACTTGTATTTTATAAAGCCTTTTCGAGCTATTTCTATTCTGACCTTTATCTCCTGCTCTTGATCTAACTGTGAGTTTATAATTGCTCCGAGGTATTTATATTTGTCGACTCTCTCTAGGGGTTTACCCTCCAATGTCAGTTGTATGTTGTCAACAGGGTTTTTTTGAGATCACCATGTATTTGGTTTTATTTATATTCATTGTTAGTCCCATCTTTTTGCTTTCTCTGTTAATGATTTCTAGGAAAGTTTGTAAATCGTCTATATTCTCTGCCATGATTGCGGTATCGTCTGCAAATCTTATGTTATTAATGATGCTCCCTCAAATCCTTACACATTCAGTTCTTTAACATAGTGCCTCCTGAAATATTAGTTCTGAGTACACATTAAATAATTGTGGCGACAGCACACATCCCTGTCTGACTCCTCTTTGAATTTCCACCTGGTTTGTCTCACTATCTACCACCCGTACGACCGCTGTTTGATTGTAGTACAGATTTTTGATTAAATTAATATCCTTGGGATCTAGGTGTATGTGTGTATGAGTTTACCATGTTGGACTCTATCTAAAGCTTTTTGGAAATCTATATAACATATGAATACGTTTTTATTATATTCCCTGCATTTTTGTAATAGTACCGTCATTGCGCACAGTGCCTCTCTTGTTCCCATTCCACATCTAAATCCAAACTGTGTATTGTCTAATTGTTCTTCAAATTTTTTTATATACGCTGTTGAATAACTTTGAGTAGTATTTTTAAAGTGTGGCTCATAAGGCTAATTAATCGGTACTCATCGCAAGATTTAGGATTATTTTTCTTGGGTAAGGGTAAAAAGATAAATTTTAATCATTCATCCGGGATTTCACCATCGTGGTATATTTTATTAAATAATTTAGTTAGACACTCTATATTTTCATCATTCAGGATTTTTAATATCCCTATCAGAGGTTGGAAATCATTCCGTTGACCAAAATACTTTCCACAATATCCAATAAAGCCTCTTGAAATATCACTTCACTGTAGACTTTGAATAAAAGTGGTGAAAGTATGCACTCTTGTCGAACTCCTCTAAGTATACTTACTTCCTCTGTCAGTTCTCCTTCGACTCTTATTCTTGCTTTCTGATTTTGATACAGATTTAATATAATTTGTAGATTTCAACTATCTATGTTTTTGGTCTTAAGAATACTTAAAAGTTTTTCGTGTTGAACTCTATCAAAAGCTTTTTTAAAATCTATGAAGCAAGCATATATATCCTGATTCATATCCAGACATCGTTGTGTCAGAACATTGACTCCGAATAATGCTTCTCTAGTTCCTAGACCCTTTCTGAAACCTATTTGTGAATCACTTATTTCTTGTTCTAATTTCATGTGGATTCTGTTATGTATGATTTTAAGGAAGGTTTTCAATGTGTGGATCATTGATGCAATTGTTCGATAGTCAATGCAATCTTTAGCATTTGTGATTTTTGGAATCGTTAGAAAAATTGAGAGAAGCCATTCTTTGGGTATGTGTCCCGTCTTGTATATGGAGTTAAAAAGGTCTACCAAGACATCAATATTATCCTCGTCAATAGTTCAATTAGTATTTTATCGGGTCCTGGAGCTTTTCCACATTTTGTGTGTTTTATGGCATAAATAACTTCCTCTTTCATTATTTCTGGTGGTTAAAGTGGTTACAATTATTAATAAAACATGCTTGATTTGTCGTTAAATTTAATTTCAGTTTGTTAAAAATATTTGGAATTCTGCTCGAATTAATTTTTACAATAGACACTTCCTTTTATGGGAGCAGTAGACACTCCCAATTGTGCATGGATATAAATTCTCAAAACTTTCATTTTCGAGTTCAGCTCTACGTTTTTGACACGGCGTTTGTTAGTAATAAAGATTTGTAGATTCTGTTTGTTGTGATAATGAGTTTTGGTTTTTTCTCTTAGAGGAGAAAAATGCAATTGGATCAGGGTCGAATGCCCGTATACTAAGTTTTCCTGGAGGCCTTTTAATTTACCTAAATTATATTCTGGTGATCTCACCTGTTACCGGTGAATTTGATGAAAATTTGGAGATTTGGATGATTTTGTCTCATGAATGTTTTATTTTTCATAATTTATTAGTTGCTAAAAATGTATAATAAAAAGCATCCGAATAATAGCCAATAACCTAAATTGAGATGAGAATAGGTACATGCATGAAAAAAGAAACACAATACAAGAAAACGAAATTGGAAATTGAAACGTCAATAAACGTATGTTTATCTTTAATTGTGGCTTATTCCCAGTTAAACAGTAATTAAGAAAACGAACGAAACAAACTCAATTCACTTTAATAATTTATGTACTTACCACAGGATTACTATGACTCTTTCCATGCTGATATACCGGTGGCGACTGAATAATTCCCTCTCCCCCACCATATCCTCCTTGGGCTTTATACGGTGGTTTATAATTTTTCGGTTTAGGTGGAGGCACAGGCTTGTAGCTATTACCGTTAGGGGGACCCATATGGTTCTGAACCCCCGGATCGTATCCGTTATGGTGTACAGGTGGACTTCTCAAAGGTGATTGTTGATGGATACTAAGAGTGGATTCTCTCAGATCTTGATGAGACGTACGCGTGTATTCGGGAGGAGGTTGGTGTGGATGCGAATTGTTACGACTAAAAAGAAAAATACTGTTACGATATATTGTTACTGTACAGCTTAACGTGAACAAGTAAGGATGGCAGTGTTTAAATTCAAATATGGTTGTATAAATTAATCAAGACATTTTGTCCTCCCCCTGTATACCTTCGATCCCTATTCGTACCGTTCGGGTATGCTATGCATCCCGTAGGACACAAGCGCTTAAGTCGTTGAGCAGAATAGACGCAAGACACAACCCTCGCGAGTGCGTCGATGCATCGAAATCGGTTGGTTTTATAGTAGTGAATTATGGTACCTAATTAGCGGTTCGGTAAGTTCACCTAGTTTAATACCTTTGTTTGTTTTTTGATTGTTTTTTGCAACCATTTAAATTTTATATTATTTGTTATTTGCACCTATGAGTGAAAGTTCATTTATCTTGCCAGAGCTATCGAAGGAATAGCTGGTATTAATCTTAGTACTATTAATTCGTAATAGTACATTATTTTGTTAAACCCCCACATTGGCCTATCTCGCCGAATTTGAACTCATTTGTTGAAAAAAAAATATTTTGTTATATTATAAATTTGAATGGTTGGTTTCGTCTTATGTCGTATTTTTTTATCGTTTTGAGGGTTGATTAAGTTGCGTCTCTTGTCGAAAGCTATTAACTTCGAGACCCGAGAATAATTTATGACCTTTTAAAGTGCACCATATGGGATTTTTTAAAAGGAGATTATAGTCGTTTTAATAAAGTATCGAATTTCAAATCATTAATTTCGAGCATTTCGGGGTTTTAGACAACATTTTTGTACATTTTTCGTTTGTATATTATTGGAATTTATTAGACATTGGCAATGGACAAGTTAGAAGAGAAAAACAGAAAGCTCAAATTTATGAGAAAGACTGTTTTAAACGATATGCAAATAATATTCGATTTGGGTTTTAAATCGCTCTCGGATATTTCGATCCGACCTTTATTTAAAATCAGGGTGGAAGAATTAGATTTAATACGCGATGAATTCTTGAAACACCACACAAATATAATTAGTAATATTCTTGCTGTACCAGACGCGGATACGAGGGTCGAAGAAAATGTTCGGGAATTATTTTTGGAACAATTTTATAAAATAAAATTATTTAGTGCGGAGTTATTTGAGCCACAATGTGAAACTCCAGAACCGTTTAGGTCGGTAGTAGTTCCAAAATCTAACATTCGCTTGCCTAAAATAGAACTGCCTAAATTTAACGGTGATTTTAAGGAGTTTAGTTCGTTTTTAGATTTATATAATTCGGTTGTACATAATAACGCAGGACTAGCAGAAGTAGAAAAGTTTAAGTATTTGAAAGGATGTTTAGAAGGGACTCCACTTAGTTTGATTCGTAATTTGCCAATAAATAGCGATAATTATCAAATTGCTTACGATTTAATTGTTAAACGCTACACAAATGTTCGTCGGTGTGCGACCGCGCATTGGGATGCGATCATGGGCGTGCCGAAAATATCGTTAGTTAATTCGAAAAATCTGGCTAAATTAGTAGACACGTTTTTAGAAAATTTAGCCGCATTGAAAACATTAGGCCTTCCGACAGAACATTGGGACTTTATTATGTTTAATTTACTTTTGTCGAAACTAGACGCGGATTCAGTAAAATTATTTGAATTAGAAAATAAATCGAATAAAATCCCGTCATTTCAAAAATTAGTTGAGTTTATTGAAACTCAGTACATTGCTTACGATAATTTGAATAGTAGCGTAAGCGAATCTAAGAAGTCGTCGCGGGCCCCAACTTATACGGAGCCTAAGGGTAATTATAAACATTCGAATGAGTCAAGGCATAATCGTAGTTCATCCTTTGTTACAAATTCGTCATTAGTAAGCTGTGCTTTATGTAAGCAAAGTCATTTTCTAAACCAGTGCTCGTTGTTTTTGAAGAAATCTCCAAAAGAGAGATACCAATTTTGTAAAGAATCTTCCTCGTGTTTTAGATGTCTTAATCAGGCTAATCATTCTGTCAAGTCGTGTCCAAAGTCCTTTAAATGTAGTAAATGTAATAGTCACCTTCATAATAGTTTGCTGCACTTCGATAGAAATCGTTCCAATAGTCAGTCGTCCACAGAAAATACTAATAATCCAGGGGCATCGGGAGTCGAACAGAATTCGCCTGAAATATCACATTGTGCTGCTAGTTTTGTAGGGAGGAAAAACGAAACAAAAAAGGAAATCTTGCTCGGTACCGTTTGGGTTCATGCAATTGATAGTAAGGGGTGTAAACAGCCCTTGAGATGTCTTTTAGATTCGGGTTCAATGAGTTCGTTCATTAGTCGAAAAGCTGCCAGTAGATTAGGTTGGCCTAAAACTCCTTGTTCGTTTGAAGTTAACGGACTCAATTCGATGCAAACGAAGCTGAATCAAGGTCAAATAAGTTTTTCTATCCAACCTCGTCATCAGGAGTCACCGGTGTTTCACTTGGAAGCTGTTATTACAGATCGGGTTTGCTCGGATTTGCCGAGCACCAAAATTGACATATCGACGTGGAATTATATCAAAAATTTAAAGTTAGCCGATCCCGAATTTAACTGTAGTCAATCTATTGATTTGTTAATTGGTTGTAGCATATTTTCGAAGGTGTTGTTAGAAGGTAAAATTGAAGGTAAAGCGGGACAACCTGATGCCCTAAATACCGTTTTTGGATATATTTTGTTAGGACCTACTAGCACACCTAATCTTTCGTCGACTTCGCTTGTTTGTCTTTCAAATATTGAAGACCCATTAGATTCTTCATTATCGAAATTTTGGGAACTGGAAAACATACCGGAAAAGCCAGTTTCAGAACCAGAAGACGCTCTGTGCGAAAACATTTATCGGGAAACACATAATCGGGACGTCTCAGGTAAATATGTCGTGTCTTTGCCTTTTCGTGAATCGCCGCCTTGTTTGCAAGATAGCTATGATATTGCTTTAAATAGACTGCTATCATTAGAACGTCGTTTATCTCGTCAACCAAGTTTGAAAAAAGAATATTCTTTTCATATGCAGGAGTATCTTGATTTAGGTCATATGCAGTTAGTCCCTAATGCCGAAAAGAAAAGGGGAAAGTATTACATTCCACATCATTGCGTTGTGAAACCAGATAGTGTTTCAAATAAAATTCGAGTTGTGTATAATGCGTCTCAGAAAAGTCCCAGTCTTGGCAAATCTTTGAACGAATATTTACTGGTCGGTCCTAAGCTACAACAGAACATAGTCTCGCTTTTGTTAAATTTTAGACTTAATCGTTTTGCGTTGTGTGCGGACATTCGTCAGATGTATCGCAATATTTTAATCGCTCCTGAACACACGGATTATCAACGCGTGTTATGGAGATTTTCTAGCCTTGAGGAAATTCAGGAATATCGTTTATTAACTGTTACTTTTGGAATAGTATCTTCGCCGTATCTTGCTTTAAGAACCCTTCAACAATTAGCATTAGACGAAGGCTCTCGTTTTCCTAAAGCCGTCTCGCTTATTCGTCATGCTTCGTATATTGATGATTTTGTTTTTGGTGCTTCGACTCTCGAAGAAGCACAAACTTTAATTGACGAATTAGTTACTTTGTTAAAGTTAGGAGGCTTTGAGTTACGGAAATGGTGTTCGAATGAACCCAAATTGTTGTCGCAATTTCCTGAATCCCATATTAATCCTCATGCCATTAATTTTGATCCAGAAGCAAATGGTCCTTCATTAAAAATCCTTGGTTTGAAGTGGATTGCACAGTCCGACGTCTTTCAATTTTCAGTCAAATTGCAAGACGTCCCTTGTACCAAAAGATCGTTTTTGTCCGAACTAGCTCGAATTTATGATCCTTGTGGTTACCTAACACCTATTACGTTTTTCATTAAACATTTAATCCAACAACTTTGGGCAACCGGTCTTAAATGGGATGATCGCCCTCCTTCGGAAATAATTCGTGTATGGGAACAATATAAGAGCGAATTATCTCTTATTTCACAATTCAAAATTCCTCGTTTTTTGAATATTTCTTCATGTCCCATCTTAGAGCTTCATGGATTTGCCGATGCTAGTGAAAAGGGATATGCTTGTGTCGTTTACATTCGTAGTATTGATACTCGTAACCTAGTTCAAGTCAATTTACTGTGTGCCAAATCGAAAGTAGCTCCTATAAAACAGATTACTATACCTCGATTAGAATTGTTAGCTGCTGTTCATTTGGTAAAACTTATGTCGTTTGTGTTAGAGTCGTGGAAGCATATAATATTTCAAAATGTGTATGCTTGGTTAGATTCTCAAATCGTATTGCACTGGATTAAAAGTTCCCCCTCGAGATTCAAAACTTTCGTCGCAAATCGCATTTCGTATATCCAGTCCTATAGTCAAAATTATTCTTGGCATTATATCGAATCTCGAAATAATGCAGCCGATGCGCCTTCGCGAGGCATGCTACCGGCCGCTTTTCTATCGAAATTAGACTGGTTAACAGGTCCTTCGCTTTTGTATAACATTCCATTAAATTTTCCAGAGGTTCCTCCCTCATTGCAGGAAAAATCCTCTTTGGAAGAGGTAAAGAAATCTTTAGTATTTGTTTCTACTCATGAGGAACATTTTTTGTCTTGTTTACTGAAAAATAAATCGTCTTTTACCTCGATCCAAAGAATTTTGGCTTTTATGTTGCGATTCGCGCACAACTCTCATTATAAAAGGTCGAAACGGTCAGGACCCTTGACTTTCGTAGAATTAGAAGACTCGTTGATTATTCTTGTCAGATTTACACAGGAAAAGTATTTTGAAGAACATCTTCAATCAAACTCTTTTCCTAAACCATTTCGTAAGTTGGGAGTATTTTTGGATGATAGCACTCAGTGTTTAAGAGTAGGTGGTCGTCTATCTCAGTCTTCGTTATCGTATGAAGCAAAACACCCGTTTTTGTTACCAAAGAAATCTCGCCTTACTACTCTTCTAGTTCGTTATTATCATGAGAAGTATTTACATGCTGGATTTAAGAGTACTCAATTTTTGATTAGTCAAAGGTTTTG